GGGTAGGTGCGCCTGGAGAATATTTTACAGGAGTATCTTCTGTCAAGAGATGAACTACTTCTGAAGGTTACTGGTAGTATTATGAATGCTGGGCTTATCTGTTCCAGTCTGACCCCAGACGTCGCCTACCACTAGTACCAAGAGTATAATTATAACCCCCAGGTTATAATTATACTCTTGCTAGTACTAGTAAGGGAAACTGACATGGGAGTGCTTGCGTCGTCACATTTGGCGATCGAATGTAACCGTGCAATCTGAAATGGAAGACTTTACTACGTAACAGAACGTTTTATCAAAGTTATGGTATGCCATTGCCTCGCAGCTGTGAATGGTCTGCGAATACTTCGAAGTGAGCCGAATACAATTTATTTACATAGTACAAGCTGCATGATTCACTCGGGTATCTCTGCACACATACATATACAACACACACGTGCAAGCACACACACACACACACACACACACACACACACACACACACAAGCTCACGCAATGCGTGGTGGATCTCCCCAGGACCGACACAGACGCGCACTCATGGAGCAGGTGAAATGCTATAGAACACATATACAAGTACATGTCCTTCGAGTAGAAAAGAATGCCAACTGGCATAGGATGGCTTTGGACACTTAGTTGAGTAGGAAAATAATACTTGGATTAGTAGGAATGTTTCGTCAAGCCTGAGACTGCACATGCATGGCTATGGTCGCGAATACGAAATCTGCTCTAAATTGAAGGAAGCAATGTGACCGCTGGGCGCTGGCGGGGCACAGTTCTTCAGCGGTAGATTCCACCCCAAGGTTAGATGGGTAGCCCCATTTTTACATGGTATAATACACTTCAAAGTACACGGTAGTTGAGTGATGACTGCAGATCGTACGTGCTGTCTACTTCAGTGCATAACACGACTCATTTTTATACACGTCATGAAGTAAACTATATTCTTGTTATAATTATCTGCAGTAGATGAATTAGACATGACAAGCAGCATCACCAGTGACGGTGCAGACAAGAGGAAGTGCCACCACACTAATGCTCAGCTTTGGCAGGAAAACAGCTAAGCTGAAGCGGCCAACTTTAACTTCAAAGAGTCAGCAAAGGAATAATAATAGCAACCAAGGCAGGGTAAGCACGACACAATGACACTTGGCAGCACTAAAATATCAAGGTGTGATTTCTCACGAAAGTGTGCAAACATAAAGATTCCCGACATGGACAACACCAGGGAGTCGTCAAATACCGGTATTTGACGACTCCCTGGACAACACAGTTATGTCGACACTGCATGCAGATTCTCGGGGCTCATGGGCTCTGTAACCCTAAAGTAACTTAGTTTTCAAATCCCCGCCAGAGCCCATCCCGTCACTATCGCCTTCAACCCCAGCATTGCCTCCACAGCCTAAACTACACATTGCCAAACATCTCATGGAACCCCCGGTTGATGTTGGGTCATCTCTGGTCTGGATGGTCAGGTCCTGCCACCATGACTGTTACCCAAGTACATACATGATTGTACATTGTACATGTGCTCCACGGGTCAAGGTGCGGACCAGAGCATTCCCTTCAAAGCATGCACGCTGTGCATACCATCCTGTACCTTATACTACATGCATATTCCTGAAGTGTTCACCCTAATCCTTCTACCCCGGAACTCGTCTTCATGTTTGTATTTAATTTGTTTCGTCCATTTTGTTTTGCTTGATCTGGGGTTTTGGGGAACACAGCCCCATGCTGTGTGATCAGTTGTGTTGAGAGAAAAAACCCGCAACCCGGTATACTCTGGGTCCGGGTGAGCTGCAAGTCTGTTTGGGCCAGTTGGGGTCACCAGGGTACATTTACCACATACTCAGTAACAGCCTGCACACGCGTTTAGACTGTAGCAGGATACCCATGCGTGTTCAGCCTGACATGACCTGCTGATGCCGTGATCATGGTGATCATGGTGATCATGGTGATGGCAAACTAACTAAACTTCGTTCCCAGACTGAGCTAACCACGCAGGCTGCACGGTCAGGTGATTCGCGTCCCGTGCTATACAGCATACTCGTACCGAAACGACATTATTCTCGACAAGTCGCACACGTTTGCTAGGACCAGACAGGCGCCGCGCGTGACAAGCGCGCTGCGATCTTGTCAGACAGGAAGCCTGTTTATTGCAAGAAAGAGTCTTCGCTTCAGCTCAGCTCTCACCGAGTCTCAGTACATATTCACAATATCATCATGATGGGTTGGCATGAGATGTCAAGACGCAGAGAGTAAGAGTGGCTCGGGAAAATTCCCAGACGCGTGACATCCCTTACCAGGACTGATTATGAGTCCACGAACCACCGCAGGTTTATACTACATGACTGTATTCCCTGGTCCCGGCTGACCTCGGTAGCTTTCATCCAGCATGCAACCCTCCGGGAGCACAAGTCATCGAACGAGGTGGTGATGTGATTGTGTAAACAATGTTGTTTTGTTGATGGGACTAATACGACAATTGGTGAGTCTGTCAGTGTTACCAGATATGGTCGGGTCCCGAGTTGCCGTGTTGTGTTGTCGTGTTGCCGCGTGTTGCCGTTGACAGGGATGACCACCACTATCACCACTAGTCACTACTAATACAGTAATACCAAGAGTACATAATCACAATCACACAGCATGGTTATGTACTCTTGCTAATACTAATCACTAATGCCAAGAGTACATAACCCCGGGGTTATGTACTCTTGTAATGCCCAATGGTCTATCACTACCCAGCGTGACGTAATGACTTCGTACATACGGTGCATGTACTTCGCTCGTACCGGTACTTGTGTGACTAGTATTACAGCGCCCTTGACTCCTCGGCCTTGGTTTTCCTTTTTCTCCCTAGCTCTTCTCTTGTACCTTCTTGCTATTATTCGCCTCATGTGGCTGCAAAATCCCCCATGATGACGCAGCTCACCAGATCTAGGTCCTCTCTCGAGTCGACACGCAGTAGAGACCAGTGGAGCGAGCTGTACTTGCGGAGGCGGCCTCGAGGCGGCCTCACACTCCTGTATGCCAACTTACTTCCCCATGTCTCACCCCCAAGACGAAGTACATGTATACAGTCCTACATGCTAGACTGGCCGACATTTAAAAAAAACATCTTCGTAGTCTATAATTATGCTGTTTGCACCCCACGGGCGCTAATGCACCAGTACCAAGAGTCTGTTTGCTTACGGGCTCTTGCTGTCGCGTGTAGCTCTTGCACATGTATCTGATTTTATATGATTGTGGAATAATTTGAATCATAATTATCTTCCTGATTGGCCATGGGCCATCGCGGAAATAAAGAATAATAGTATCTGCTTTCTGCAAGCACCAGTCTTTATGAAACCTCACTCCGCAAACTGCATTAACGGTCTCTATACGGAGGAAAGAAACAAGTTAGTTCACCTCAGTCCTGTGGGACTAATGTTACCAGTACAGTTGAACTCAGCAGGACAGCAAACAACAGCTAGGTTACAGTCATGTCTAAGCCGTGATCCAGCAAGGCAGCTACAACTGCTATAGCATATAGGCGTAAAATCCCCTACCCACGAACCAACAGTCTGCATTCCATCACACATCATCACATGCACAGAAACATGATACATGTACATGTTAATTGTATACCGATGTCTGCGGTAGCAGGCTAGCTCTAGGCCTTGGCGGATAATGCTCGAAAAGGTGGCAGATTCTGCTTTTTTTGCACCGAAATTGGCAGAACCATACAAACCTTATGGCGGGCAATTCCTCGAATTCTGCTCCATTTCTTTATCCACATACCAAACATGCATGAAACTTACCAGAAAAAGTACCGAATTCTGCCAATTTTTCTGCCGGCATTATCCGCCAAGGCCTAGTAGTAGCAGCACAACACCACATACTAGTCTGATGAATCATGTCGACATGGTTAAAACCAGTAATGATGTCACATACATGTACATGCGTTCACAGCACAACTAACTAACTGTTACCTTGGTTACTTCAAGTCTAAAATCTCTCATTGCATTATGAATAATTATGAGTCTGAAGTCAAAGGTCGTGCTGTGATAGAGAGGCACTCCGGTACAGATAGGACTGGGACGTTGACATGGTATGGATAGCATCAGAGCATGCCGAACACTACATACTAGTAGTTCAATGCGTCTCCGTCTCCAGCTGCACAATGGCACCACGTGTTGCTCTCCGGAAAGGTCATGGGATGAAGGGCGAGGAGGAATCAGAATGATTGATTGATTGATTGATGTAGTTTGGGCCAAGGTCGTTGTCATGCACAAGAAAAATACATGACTGGTGGTATTGTCTTCCGTGTGACTGCCCTTCATGAATATTCGCCGCGCCATGTGTATTGCATGATGCTACTATTTATTGAGAGTGATGTCATAAGCAGGGATGGTTACCGGTTGGAGAGACAGAGCCTCAGAGAGGGAGAGAAAATAATATTGGTACAACTTTCAACATGGATGCCCTCCCGTGTACCTGTGTGTCGATCACGTAACGTCGTTGACACTCGGCGAGAGACAATCTGGTAAACGGTGGTAAAGGTCGTTCATGGACATGGTGCAAGTATTCCGAAGGTACCTGGTAGGTGTATGTGGCTGCTAAAAGTAGATCTACACGTCGCAGACTTTCACACTCATCACACGATTCACAGCATGGCACACAGGCCCTCCGCCATGCCGGTGTAGCATGCACAAAGCCACAAAGGTCATCTACACACACGAGTAGGACTCACTTGTCGCTGCTAAAATAACCGCGCTACCAGCACTGGCACTGCACCATGTACTGTAGATCTACCAGCTCAAGGCTGATCTGTGAGCTGGTGATCATGGTGATCGTGAGGCCTATGAGTCTGACTTATGACATAATTATGAGTATGACAACCTCGCAAGACAGTCATACCGATTTCACAAGGCCAATATTGTAGGCACTACCAGATTACAGTCTTCACATACCCAGCAAGGCTAACACTAACAGGCTGTGGAGCCTGGAGTGAATGTAGATCTACATGGAGTCTGGGTTCTCGTCCCCAGGCGATGTGCAGCGTGCCCAAACTTAGTGTTCCACGAGGCCAGAGTTCAGTTTAGAAAGAATTGACAGAGACGAAATGACTGTTGTTTCCAAGTTAGACCTATGGCATCAGCAGATTATTATTATTTTAGTTCCTTTTGAGCTGGACATGCTCCTCTCATACGACGTGCTGGCCCGTCAGCGCTCAAGAATGTCAGCTGTCCAGTCTCTTTGAGTCTTCACAGACCAGAGCACGGAAAAGTCTTGGCAGCCAAGAGGACCGTAAAAAGACAGCGCAGCGCTTTTGCCCATGTCGCCCTGCTAACTAGACTGTGGACGGCCGGCTTATCGATTTCGTCCATCAGCACTTGTCACAGGGCCCTGTCATCCCGGAGAGACCTCATTGAAGTCGCCGTTCTCACGGATCAGTTGCAACGCGGAGTGCGCCCACAGGCAACACGAAGCTGCTCCGGAAAAACTGATGCTTTGTAAGCTTGGTAAGTTCTAGAGGCTAGCGGTTCATAAGCTTGGTAGAGTTACTTCCATTTTCGTTGTTTCTCGCCCGCTGCGCGTTCGTCACGCTATTCACTAATTGGAACATCAAAAAGTATTCTTTCTAGACCATTTGGAACATAGGCGTGAGAGTGTTTACGAGAAGATGGGTGGAGCGTAGACCTATGAACCGGGCCACTAGTGGTAGGGAGCGCGATTTAGTCAATACTAGCACGGGGGCTCTTCATTCAACCGACCGGGCTTGGAGGATGGCATGGGTTGAGTGAAGGTCGTGATGCAATGTCCACCTCCTGTTATTGCAATCTCGTGAGCTTTCGCTTCATGAATTGACGGCAAGACGAAACGCAATGCACCCCTTTGTTCCCATTTTTCTGTGGGATCGTTTGGCCAAACAGACGATTGCCTCACGCTTGACCTGGGCGCCTGGAACGGCCAGCAGCTGAGCCCGTAGACCACAATTCCACCACAGCACTACATGCACCTTTTGTGTGGACACCATCTGCAAGGGAGAAGAGCCTTCTTTCCTTCTCCAGTTGCCAGCGATTTGGTCCAAAACACCAGCTGTCGGTGTAATGCGAGTAGCACATCTTCAGCTGGGAAGACGACCCTGGTTATGAATGGATACATTACATTATTTATTATTATGTGTTTACTGGTATTGAGATGCGGTGAATGTCCATGCATACAACATAGACAGCCATGGAAAGTTCATGAACCAACACGGTTGACAGCTAGAAGAAGCAAGAGCTACCCGTACGGCGCAGGTGCATTCGAGTGTAGTGTGTATGTGTGTGTGTGTGTGCATGCGCGCGCGCACGAGGGCACATGAAACAGGCAAGGCTAAACTAGACCGAGAATCTGTTGCGCAACAACAATCATGTTTTGACATCAAACATCTACCGTCGCCAAGTATTGGAGAGCTGCTCACTGGCGGTGTTATTGGGAACTGAATTGGCACTGGTCCAACTCTATCAAGCCTACCCCGCTCTCCCTCGTCCTTCCCTCATGCTACCTTTTCATCTCGTGTCACAATGAATGACAAGTCGATCCCATCTGTACTAGCAACCGTCGACTCCGGTTATGCTGCGCTGCAGCCGAAAATAGAGATTCACAGTAGAAGTTATGCGGGGAACGAGGAGTCTTGATATGTGCACTGGGTAGCGTGGAACTGCGTGGGGTAAAGCGTTCGGCTCACCAACACAACTCGACTGACATTAATTGCGTGCCAACGCAGCCCAACAGCTACCAGTGTACGTCAAGGTAGGTGGTCGGGCAGCATCTTGGGTTTGATCAGCGTGAGTCGGGTCTCGGACAGTCGGGGATATACTGCCGGGCGGGGCAGTGTATGCCCGTGAGTATGGCCAGGACCCATCGTTCCCCAGTGCTTCCCGGTCTAGCCTGGTCATGTGACTCGGTGGCAATGCTCAGCAGTGTGTACACATAGTTCTATAGCAGTCTCACTCTCAGTCGGCTGGGCAGTCATGCATACCCCAAGCAGTACACACACACACTCAGACAGACTTCACATACTACAGTGTACATGATGTAGATCTTGAGAATTAGACACTATTACACGGCATGACAGTGCACTGGCGTGTGACTATGGGTCTGGCAGGCCGGCATGGGGCTCTGCAACACTACAACATTTCATCTCGAATGCATCACGGTTTGTAATGTGAAGTGTCTGCAGTGTAGTCTCTCCTCCTCCACTTCGATCTGGCACTGTCACCTTGAGGAATGTGCCCATGTCTCTGATTCTTGAGCATCATGCTGCGTGTGAATGATCGAGGACGTGGGACATGTGGGCACATGGATGAGAATAACACGGATAATGCCTTCGCTATCATGTGACCAGGCTGGGGAAGTAACGCTGAGTGGGACGTTCACCGTCCACGCAATCGAGATAATCTATTACACAGGCATGTATGTACAGTGTGTTTGTCTGTCTGTATGTGTTACTTCAAGGTAAATGTAATTGGTGTGTCGGTGAATGTTTGAGAGTGTGGGTGCACAGATAGGAATATTCTGTGATGCTTCCGTGACAATTTGATTAGGCAAGGCAGTAGTGGTATGTGGGCTGTTATCACCCACAACTTTGACAATTGACTATTTCAAGAACCATGCCATGTAGATATATGAGAACTCCATCTTGCTCACTCGTAATTATGTAAAAAATATTGCATCCGGAGTCCATCCAAATAATGAGCAACCGTGCTTGCATGGAATCTATTCATCCTAGAGGTGTTCTCCACTGGGCCGACCTTTGTAGTTTTTGATCAATACTGGGTGCGTATCGTAGCATGAAATGTAGGCTAGCCCGAGTGCAACAATTACATGTGTCTGTGAGACCTGCAGCTCTGTTGTGCCGACAAATTTTTTTAAACTATTGATCACCTTGGGCCATAGAGGATCTTTATTGAAAGGAATTAAGGCACCCTGCCCTTCATTTGAAGGTTTTGATCAAGCTTGGTTCACCATTGAACAACGTGCATGTTGAAATACGGTTGGTAATGCTTTACACTGGAAGACTGTGGATAAGAAACATGTGCATGTAGTGACAAGGACAATAGCCAATCTATCACTAATGGAAGGTGGCTGGCAATGCGAGGGCTTATCTGAACTTCAAAAAATGGGTGGATCCAAGACGTTTGTTTTGCCGGAGGCTCACGACATTGGAACAACGTTGAGCAGTATCACATGGCATCCTGGCTGCTGAGAGTACGGGCAGCAGATTTTCAAATAATTGAACTGCATGCTATGGCAGCACGAGGAAACTGCCGAGTAATGCTGCCAAGCGCGTGATCTTACTTGGCGGAGACTGTACAGATAGCGAGAGTACAGAGCAGTGCAAGAGAACTTGTCTTGCAGCGACCGCCATCATAAAGTTGTTATCAGCTCTGCGTACCTGTCAGCTGTCGGTCCTTCTGTCATGATCAATGCAGTGTGCTGGGATGTTCAGGAGCATAGAGCAGTACCACAGTATGCATGTCTTGGCGGCTGTACTCTATCATGCAGCATTGAACAACTTGTCTTGACTGGCTTTGTGCTAATCCCAGTGTAGTGGGATGGACAGGATACTGGTTTGTACAGGAGTAAAGGAGAGCGAAATAAGCAAATATTGTCCAATATGCCAGTGCATGGCATGTAGCGTGCGGGAGACACACAGAGATAGTAAGGACACACAGCACGTGAGTGCCTGTCAGCGCCATCAGCTCGGGGAGTAGGTGTGTTTGCTGGACGTACGTCATTCGGCCTCTAGTAGCGGACTGCACCTAGTTTGCCACGGCATTCATCTAGTTTGCGGCTGCTAGCCAGGCTGAGATGGGTGTTGGAATGCATAAGGAGTGGCACGGACCGAATCCATCACTGCCATGGAGAGCCGACAAGTGCAGGTGGTGATAAAGACCTAGTCATGTACATGTCTGATCAGAGTCACACCCAAACGTGATCATTTGTCTCTTTGTCACAGAGCACAATGCCCATCTGCATGGGTGGTACGCTGGAATTAAGTCGAGCCTTGGCAAACAAGAGAAACCACTGCTGAGCCCAGAATTCCCTTCTACTAGCCTGTCGAGGATCTATTGTTTATTCTACGCATGTTCCCGAAACCACTGATGATGTGCGTAGCCCCATGGCATTGCTTCTAAGGATTGTTGTGAGGGGATATTTGGATACCGCAATGGGCAATCCGGGGAGGTATTCTGTGGCCTTCTACAATTTCACAGGTCATGTTTGTTCTTCATAAATTTGACTTGGAACGTAATTTATGAAATAGCCTTCAAGTAAATGTCAGTTAGTTGCCGTTTCCGTCTGTTTCGGTGAAGAGTGAGCAACAGATGTCATTGTGGATACACGCATTTGACACAAAACTATGTTTGGATGCTGTGTTGTGTAAAGTCTGACTGGCTAGACCTAGGAAATGGACACGAGTATCTGCTCTCTCTCAAAATAATGTTTTGAGCCATATGCCTTAAAAAAATGTAAAAACAAACAAAGGAGAGTCGACGAGGAGACACAAGTTTTACAATTGCAAAGACTAAGATAAAGTGTGCAGTCATTCTATGTTATCATGCATCTACTAGTACAAACATCCTCAAGGAACGATTGCCGGTTGTCTCTAAGAACGTTTTCCATTGTTGTGATGGTCATCAGTTAGAGACAACCAATTGTTCCTTGATGATGTTTGTACTAGTAGATGCATGATAACATTGAATAACTGCACACTTTATCTTATTCACTGCAATTTGGAAATGAATCGATCTTTGCATTTCAGTCTTCAGTGTATAGAAGTTCAGAGTGTTGAAGCAAGGAACAGACTGCCAGGAGAGGTGTTTGCAATGGGATGGGTTCAGCATTCAAGGCTGAGAACGTCCAGATGTCATTCTTGTGTTCCTCAATGGTCATACAAATGGATGCTGTATGAGTCTACAAGGCTAGCACCTGCTGTTGACCATTCAACCAAAACCAGACTTTTTGTGAAGTCGAAGATTTGTCGCGGGGCACATTTGCAAACTTTGCTGAATTGTCTCCTTTGCCATTATTCTGTGCTCAGCATGATTGCATGCTTGCACATGGCACACGTATGCATCGTCACGGCTTCTCCATAATTTATGTAGTGTATGTGTGGTGTTGCTCCAGATTACCCAAGAGATCCCGCCAGCTTGTACAATGCCATAGTTAGAAAGCACTGAATACAGAAATGACCATTCATGTCAGTTTGCTGGTCAAGACTGCTCTCGCAGACACCTCAAGTGCCTGCTGGGGAATTCCCTCAATGCAGCTGGTAAGTCCAAAACAGACTGGCTAGGAACTAGGATAATGAGCGTGAGCCCAGAAAGCCTAGACAATTTCTTTTGAGAACCTTACCCCAATGCTTTTCTTCGTATGATTGAGATTCTGCGGTAGCCACTTCACATGAAGTTGGTTGTTCCAACGAGGAACACACGCTCCCTGCCGAACTTGACACTTGACTAACTCACGGCTGCCATCCGGAGCACACGAGGAGCACGTTGCACCTTCCACTCGGCAAACCTGCAAGAAAGCACCACTCCCTGCTCGAAAGAACAGTGTTTCGGGGAATTCACCCCTCATCAGTTGAGCCAATGGTTCAATATGCTTCCAAATAAATGCTGGGGAAGCAGATTACACACAGAAAACACATGCAACGCTACCTACCGCACCCAAACTTGCATTCGCACACTGCACACTGATCTGTATAATAATATGATATGCACTAGAATGCAACGCAGGAACAAGTTAGTTGAGGACATGTTCCCACACAGGGATGTGTACATGTATGTACAAAACGTAAAGTCACAGAAGAAAACTGCTACTTCAAATATATCAGCAGCAAACAGAAGAGAGATGAATCGCGAACATTCAACTGGAGATGGTTGCCTGCTGTTGTGCGCTACATTTTAACGTGGAGATAGGAAAAAAAATAGTATCAAAACTCAGGAATGGAGCGACGTAACGATTCAACCAGGCCATGTATTCGGTAGTAAGACAGAGGAATATCACTATCAACAATCGACATGCATGACGCGTATCAAGAAGAAGACCAATATCATAGAGCAGCACACTGCTGAGATTGCCATGCTGGCTCTCCATGCATGCCAGAACAAAAGCACGAGTGGAGCAGCAGAGCTTTGCAACAGAACAGAGCAATATATATTTATAGTATGCCATTGAGCAGTCCTTGTACACTACAAACACCGTCGAGACATGTATCCACAGCCTTGACGCGGCAGCACATAGAGTTATCGCTGTAAAAGAAATAGTTCTAGCACTGTCTTTCTTGCATCGTGTATCTACATGACTGTATGTGTGTGTATGTGTGTGTGTGGGGGGGGGGGGGGGGGGTGGTCATCCATAGCAGCGCAGTATCAAAATGCAAAGAAATTAGAAATCAATACTCGACTAGTAATATGAACAGTCAGTCTACGGGAACTTGCTATGCGTGCCTCAGGGCGGCAGAGTTCTCAACATGCCGTGATGAAGGCCATCTGCTGCTGATTACGGCCGCGCTGGCGTAGGCGACCGACTACCTGCGACCTCAGCATCTCAATGAACTGAACCGACAGAGAAAGAAAGGAACACACAAATGATTTGCAGAACAGCAATCGGATATTCCTGCTTGGGTGCTCCACAGCAGAGAAGTTCTCCAGCATCTTACTTGTACACGACATTCACAACGTACTTGGAAATGTGAACCAGCATTATCATTATTAGTCGGCAATAGCCATTTTGTCTTTCAGAGTTCCACTGTACAACAGGGCCTGCGAATATAAAACTTAAAAGGTTTTATATTAGCGGGCCCTGTTGTACAGTGGAACTCTGAAGGGACCGTACCATGAGGAATATGAAAAAGTGTATCTGAGGTCCTTCATATCCTAACATACTTCAATACGGAGCATTGCATCAGTGTCTCGGACCACGAGTGTCCATGCTAAGCAAGTGTACACCTTGTCATTGTACTTACTAGGCCTGCTCCACTACATACCGGTAATCATTGCTGTTCCTGTTGCATCTTTCTCCAACCAACTTTCCATTATACTTGTACTGCAGGCACTGCTGTGATTCATCCCCCTCCCTCACGATCAGCAAACTATCTAGTACTAATTACCGAGTAATCGGTATAATCGTTTCAGCCCTAGTAAGTATCTACCCCAACACACAACCAAAGTGTGACAACATGTGCATGAAGCGTATCCCCAAAGTTAACTAACAGACACTGCTCTGTGGTATTTTATGCTGTGCATATACAAGTCTCTCCTCCAAAATGGTATGGCAATGATAGTCTCGACAGGCTCCCACTGTACGACAATAGCACGATGGGAACTTGCATACACAGATACGCCCTTACCTCTTTCCCATTCTCGGCCAGCAGCTTTCTGAACGGTGGCTTGCGGCACACTTGCGTAAGATGTGCCAGGAAGAAACCTTCGCATGCCTCTTTCAGGATTGGTGCATCGTGGGTCTAGACAGCAATCGGTGTGACAAAGACAGAAAACCGTGATTCATTTAATCCGTATCATCTTATCCAGGGTCATATTAGTGAAGGGCCACCTGTACACGGTGACCACATTTAGGGGTGTCGTGATCCATCGGCTCAGATTTCACCGTACTTTTTTCCCTTACGATGGATGCTGGCTCCCTGGACAGACAGTATGGCAGTCATTACGTCAACATTACGTCAGTCCAGGACAAATGCCACCGAAGGCCTAGAGACCGGGGTTACACTGCCAAAATATAGGATTTCAGCATCCTACTCTAATCCCCCTCCCCTACCCACAAGTTAGTTAAGCCAAGATCACTGGTCACACTGCAGCACAGCACAGTCAAACTGACTACGAACAGCTGAAAGCAGACCGTGTCTGCTTTAAGGCGGAACGTACCTTTGTGAACGTGTAGAGTTCGCAGACATTGTCCGGACCGAGCGTGTTCCCCGCCAGGACCTCACAGTGCTGGTGCAGACGCCACAGCTCAAAGAAGCGAGCCGCGTTCAATAGCTAAAATAGTAGCCAGTACACACAAGAAGCGAAAAGCAACAGTGAGCATTAAATACTTCGGCAAAGTGTTCGAGTTGATCGTCAAAATGGTCAATTGAAGGCAACGAAACATCTGGCTACCGTATTTCCCCGAATATGAGTCGCACCTTGTTACACTAAAATTCATGGGCACAAAAGGGGGTGCGACTTACAATCGAGCATGACTTACTACTGTAGTGATTATATGGAAACAAAATTGCTCAAACCTGAAAATGGGGGTGCGACTTATAATCGGGGAAATACGGTAATCATAAGGGGCCTTCCGTAAATACCGATATTTATTTAGAAACGAAAACTAGTCGCTTCTCTTCAACCCCCCCCCCCCCTCCCTAAGAAACGAACACGTACAAATGGTACATAGTATCGATATTTTTGATCTTTTTCTCTGGACATGCTCACGCGTGCAAAATGTACATCGATATTTTTCGAGAAGTGAACAGGCGCTCAACCCCCCCTCCCCCCCCCCCCCCCTAAACGACTAGTTTTCGTTTCTAAATAAATATCTATATTTACGGATGGCGCCTAAATGTGTCCATTACTTTATACATGCTAAATCGCCTAATATTTGAAAACATTAGCAGGATGGGTCACTACATACAATTCTTATTGAAGAGAGAGGGAAACTGGCAGACCATTTGCACTGAGGATGTAGGTAGCTTCCTAGAGTTACACACATTGGCTCTAGTGTGACACACTATCTCTCACGGTATTAACCGTGCAGCATTGCTTACGTCTTGCACGACAACGTGCTTGGGAATATCCAGCGACACTCCACCCGTGTAGATATAGCGTATGGTAATCTGCAATTGTGCAACAGACGAGACAGATCATGAAGATCACCTTGAAACACACTCACTGCCTCCATAGTATTCTTATTTTTGGTTTCACTCTCCCCAAAATCTCCAGGCTTGACCCGTCCTCAATGTACAAGGCTATGAGACCAATCGGATAAGGTCATGGAGATGAAAACTGCATACTAGGGATGGCACCAAGCTGCTCAAAGAGTGTCCCATGGCACGCTTTCTACACTGAACTTAAAGCTCTGCTGGTGTTGCAATATTCACAGGCTCCAGGCGTTCCTCAAAGTGAGAACGCATGAGCGCTAGGTCTCAGTCAGCTGCCTCCTTAGCGCAGTAGGCAGCGCGTCAGTCTCATAATCTGAAGGTCGTGAGTTCGATCCTCACAGGGGGCACTTCTTTTTTTTCAACTTCTCCTCACCTGATTTCAATTGTGCAATCTCTTCCTATGGGGCAGCCAAGCTACACAACACACACACTGCTGGAATGTTTTGGTCTAAAATTCGATTATAAGGGCCGGGTTCCACTGCGGCTCCGCTGCTCCGCGGCACTTGGCTGCATACAGCGGAGCAGCGCGGTTCCACTGACACTCGCCATACGCAATACCGCGGTCGTGGTCCACATTTTTTGATGACGTTTCACCTGCCTGCGCGCGAAATCAAAAAAAATCCTCTTGTTCTGGCCTGTGCAACGAATTAAAATTTGAATTTTAAAATTCTGGCGTACAAAACAATGTAAAGTACGGGAAACAGGTCGAGCCGCGACCGCGGCTCGCAGTTTTTGGTCAAGAATCGTATGCTCCAGCTCGAGCCGCGGTCACTATGGTAATGATGACGTTTCAAGCCGCGAAAGACGAGCAGCGGAGCCACAGTGGAACCCGGCCCTTAGGGACGTTTGGCAAAGCGAAAATTCGAAAGAAAATTCGAGTCTGGGAATGAGTACGGAAACAAAGGTCGAAACTTCGACAACTTGGACGCGACGCGAAGTTGCAGTGATTTGCGAAAGTAACTTTCTCTTTCCTCGGTACGCACTTGCCGGCAGGGAGTTGTAAATTTACAGCCCCATACTTGAGACTAAGCTGTATATTCAGTACGGTACTATAAGATTCAAATAACTTCGAGAAAAAGTCATTCGCATTGCTAAACCTCACGTTTCCTTTTTCGAAATAGATCTTTCGCATTGCTAAACGTGTCTATTTTCCGTTATTTCCGTTGTTCGAAAATATCGGATTTAAATGCGCACAACTGCAGGTATAGCTGTTGCAGATGTTATTATCAGATGCCTCCTTAGCGCAGTAGGCAGCGCGTCAGTCTCATAATCTGAAGGTCGTGAGTTCGATCCTCACAGGGGGCACTTCATTTTTTTTAATAGCAATATCCTGCTGCCTTCAAAATGATAATTCACTCTCCTTTTTTCATTGCCAAATCTTGAGGGGGACGATGATCGAAATGGTTATTTATTTTTTCTGGAGGGGTGACATGTGATACTTGGCAATTTTTGCCGAATCGGCCTGGGAAGGAGGGAGGGGGTCTATTTCTGTAAAACCGCTTAATGATCAATCATAAAGTGGATCTATCACAAGTTGTATGGAGTGTGCACTGTGACTGACTACAAACTAGTAGCTCACCTCCAGAACAGTGAAGGGAATGTTAGCCGGTAGGTTGATGGTCATGGCTCCTGCCTGGTTGACTGGAGACGCTGACAGCAGAGCCTGGACACACACGCACACACACACACGCACGCGCACACACACGCATAGTCGAGCAAAATTTAGAGAAACTCCTTCTCATTACTGCACCTGACACAGCTCCTAGATGCTACAGCTTGGCAGCTTACATCGTACTTTCCCAGTCCCTGTAAAAGAGTGGATCAGGCAGGTTCACTTATCTGGCTAGGACTAACAAGTTTCACTCGCATGATAACTGGAAAATGCACAATTCTGTGTTTGCACTTCACAACTGCACGCTGAAAGTAGGCCCGGGCCTGAAGACAATGCATTGAGGTTCGGGAAGAGAGAGAGAGAGAGAGAGAGAGAGGGGGGGGGGGAGAGAGAGAGAGAGAGAGAGAGAAAGATACCGAAAACACGTACTGGGCATTTACCTGGAATCTGCTGGATGCCTTCAGCAACATGATGCGATGCGCAAAGAACTGACGTCCCTCGGTGATAAAAATGATGTCCGCCATCTCTGCATTGTTCACCCAGCTCACATCTGATACACGCAGCAAGAAAATATCACACTTTGTCAGTACCACACATGAAGGGCTTATTGCGCCGATGTGTCTGCCACAAGGCTGTCCGGGAAGTGCAAAGAATGAATATTTCGAAGGTGTTTCAATCACAACAAAAACAAAATTTATTAATGTCAGAACATCAAATTGAGAAAACGTACAACGACGCAATGCAAGCCGCATATACAGTCTTGGCCAAAGAAATAACCCGTGAGTGAAATGTAGCGTCGTTTTTCATTTCAATCACATGCACGGTCCAAAAAGGCAAAACCCATCTGAGGGCAGCAGGGGCCTATGAGCCTTGGCATTGCTTTCGGCTGATGGGTGGTATTTCTGTTGCCACGACCGTAAACATGGTGTGCCAGGTGTTGTAAAACGATGTGTTGTTTTCCTGTGTGATGGCATTCCCCAAACTGTCTCGTCTAGTCGCGTGCATGTTTGATATGAGCATGCGCGATTTTGTAGTCGAGAGTCATTTTGTCAGTCTTCTTGTTCTTCTCTGTCAGAGCAGTTTGCTTTTCCGTCTTGTAATTCTCTCTTGTCCTTTGTGTCCTGCGTCCCGGGGAACAGAATGGCTGAGATTCCGTAACACAGGGTCCATCTCGACCTACTGTAAGTGTCTCTAATACCTACTGGCAAGTGCTTGGACGAGGATTGACGAGATGGAGCTTGATCATCACTTTATCTACTTGCACGTCGATTTGTCTAGGTTGCAACCTACTGGCGTGCTGTATGGCGTGTACGTGTGTGTGCGTGCGTGCGTGCGTGTGTGTGTGTGTGTGTGTGTGTGTGCGTGTATGTATGTATGTATGTATGTGTGTTCCTTACCTAGTTGGCTTGTGCCACTTGGCATAGGCTGCACAACAGCCATTGTCGGTATTGACCGAGGTCCATAGCATGTCTGCAGTACTACAGCTACTTGATGGCACATTTCAACGTTCTGTGAACAAAGCACATGTGGAAAACAAACATCGATCTAAAACAAAAACAATTCACTTCAATCAATCAAGTTGGATGGCATATGTCCAAGGTTGCTCTCAATAAAAGATGCTATTCGGAGCTCCTGCAAAGTGCGTGAGCACAGATGTGGAGCTTTGGTGTACAGTGTAGGAAGCTATTTTTTAATTTGTCTGGCTTCACCTAAAAGGGGGAGGGGTCGACTGACCTAGCCGGGAAATTTAAAAAAAACTCAAGCTAACAGATTCGTGCCTCTTGAGAGCATTTACCACCATTGTATGATATTACATATGTTTTAAAAGAACCCCAGTAGATTTCAATATGTATGTGGGTGGCTGAGGCAAGAAAACGGCCAGCCTGCAATATTGGTCTACTCACAGAAATGTAGCACCCTTGCCAGCCTGGTTCTTACCTGCCTGAGCAGAGAGAAGAGCAGTGGCAGTGTGTCGTTACAGAACGAAGACGACATCTCCGTGTCCATCACGGTGTTGAAGTCCATCAGCAGTTGCTGCAGCTGCTGTCCACGGACCGGGTTGTGGTAGGCCGCATCCACTGCCTCTCCCCAGCTATGCAATGTCCATGGAATGCCTGAGGTAATGGGAGAACAAGGCCGACAGAACGGGAACAGTGCTGTTTCAGCTGCTATTATTGAGGCTGGGTGAAGACACCAGCAGGCTAGCTGTGCAAAGTTTGTGACAGGTAGCTTACTTTACTGTCTTGGCTAGCTATGCAAGGTTTGTGGTACACTCAGGGAGAGTTGTGGTAGCTCGTAATACTAATAGTCCTCGATGCACCCAGGTGCAGAGCCTTATATGCATGAGAAAGAACCAAAGCGTTTCTGCTGCTAGTCCGAGTTTCACGGTTTTGCTGTCTGACGATCAGTAAAAGCGTGAAACTCAGAGTCATGGCAGAAATGATTTGTTTCCTTCTTTTATGCAAGGTTTGTGATACGTACCATGCCCTACTGTCTTGACTAGCTATGCAGGCAAGGTTTGTGCTACGATAACTTACCATACTGTCTTAACTGCAGAGTCAGGTCAATGTGGCCATGTTCTGCTGCTAGGAACAGCGACTCCTGCGGCACAGACCGGGAATGGGCAAAACAAAAACAAAAACTCCAACAAAATTCCTGTACTCGCACCATTCAGTGTATAGTCTATAGATTGGCATGCGAGCATGTCCTCTCCAAGGCCGCGTAGGGATCGGAAATGAATCTGGCCCGAAAAAGATCCTCTGCCCATTGTGAATAGCCACAGTGCATGGAGAAAATGAAAATGTCTGAAAACGACCTCCAACGCCATCTGTAGATACTGGACTGCCTATAGGTGTGTTGACTGCATATGGGCTGGACCTCCCGATAAGAGCTGTGATTGCTGATATTAGAGTAGTGATGGTGTGTAGGCACTGTGACTGCCTATGGAGGGTTGTGACTGCCTATAGGGGGCTGTGACGGATTTTGGTGGTTATGCTTTGTAGCAGTCCTGCTTATGATGACCGTGACTGCTTTCGGAGGTTGTGGCTGTTTATGTCGGTTGTGACCACTTATGGCGATTGACCATTTACGGCGATTGTGACCACTTATGGTGATTGTGACCACGTATGGCGGTTGTGACCACTTATGGCGATTGTGACCACTTTTGAGGATTGCGAGTGCTAGTAGGGGAAAGCTGTAAAATTGTTACTGTGTGTCCTGTCTCCCACAACCCACGCACATGCTGCAAGACTTTCCGATTTCCACATGCCATGCAATCTCAACCCAACTGCAGTAATGGATGTCAATGATCCCGCAATGTGTGAATCATGTCGGGTGGCAATTGGTCCAATAGCATCGAGCTCTAATGGGCGAGCAAGTAAAAAAAAGAAAAAGAAAAAAGTTCACAAGTTGGCGTTACAATTGTGTTGAAGAACACAACCAGCAAGTGCTATGATAAATACTAGTACACTATATCACAGCCCAGAGCTGCGGTACGCTATCCGATAAAATGTATCAGCTTTGCGTCCTGTACGATGGAAAATCTCATTGTTGGCAGGTCTAGAACTGCACCGTGCCTGGCGCGTACTCGACTCACTCTATGGGATTTCATTGAGCAGCACTGTACATGTGTGTGTGTGTGTGTGTGTGTGTCACCTGGCGGTCCACGCAAACGCTGGAAGGACTGCATTAGTGCAGACCTGAAGGCCCTGCATGCTGTGGAGGGATGGTACGATCTGGCAGATTTTCGCCCCGACTGGCGCCGCATGTACCGCTGTTTCGAGCCCGAACCGCCCACACCCAATGTCCATTGCCAAGTATGTGATCGGTACTTCTCTCGCCCATCAGATGAGAAGCGTCACAAATGCTTGGCAGAACGGCAGAAACCAGTGTGCAATCAGGCTGGCGCTTGCCAATGTCGTCTCTGCCAACGTTGGTTCCGCAGCCCCGGTGGATTGGCTACCCATCGGTGCGATCACGGACCTGCTCCCAACATCGAGCACCCCGGCAACTCCGCAGTGCAGCACCTGCCACCGGAGTTTCAAGTCCAGCAGCGGTTTGGCCAGACACAAGTGCGACTGCACGAAACGTAGGACAGTGTCGGAAAGGGCCGACTTCCCGTTTGAGTGTCCTTGCCAAAGGAAGTTCCGACTACGTCACCATCTAGTGCGCCATCAAAAGTGCTGCTCCTCAGTCTCTTCCACCCCTCTCCCCTGACGGGGACCGTGTAACCTATCAAGGCAACGTGTATCAAGGTGTGTGTGTGTGTGTGTGTGTGTGTGTGTGTGTGTGTGTGTGTGTGTGTGTGTGTGTGTGTGTGTGTGTGTGTGCAGGGGCGTAGCACCCGCTACGACTGGTACGGCATGGTATGGCCATGGCTGTACCACTTTTCCAAAAGTGTGGTCCGTCCGGAACGTGCAAAACCGTAATAAAAAAAATCAGGATCCATCGATGCATATGCGCATCAGACTTTGACCTTTTTCTAGACTCATAGGTCTACTCGTACTAGTCGTAGATCTGCCATGCATCTGCAGTCGTGCTGAGTAATGTACTCGACTGCACTGGCATGGTGCATGTGTAGCGTTGGCACGCCAGTAACTAAAATTTTGATTTTACTTTTAACACAGCTGCAGCGTGAATCACTTTCAGTATTGGTCACGCGTGTTGCACCGCACCGCACCCCGCAGTTACTCTTATTACCGTGCTTGCAGACCCATGACGTGCATAGTAACTAGTCTCACTGTGTTCATGTATTACTCCCACACACTAGGATGACCTGAGAAATACTAGCACATGTATCCTGTAGACCTTTTTGATGCATTTCACTTTCGACCTCCTTTTCATTTATCTACACACATTCTAATGAAGCTTCCTTAGAATTCCTAATGGCTGCCTTCCCGGTACCTTTTTTACGCCCATTGCCCACATCGTATTCAGCTGTTTCTTCTGCATAAAATCAAATGGCATTCCTTGTGCTATGACTGTGGCCCACATATCTTACTTTGACCTTTCTTCTTCTGCTCTACGTATCCCCTGGTCATAGCCTAGGCTAGCTTACTTGCACTAACAGTTTCTCACCCTATAAAAGCTGCTGTCACAATTCAGTTTAAGTAACATTAGTTTCAGTTTAGAGTTAGAGTTCAACCTTCAATCCAGTCTTTAGTTCAGTAATAATAAACAACAGTGTGTTCACTGAGACCCGTGTGCATTTGCCTCAGAGAGAGAGACTGCGGCCTGCTACACATGCACCAGTCCATGCATGGTCCTAGGTCCTGCCTTGCTTGTTGTACTGAACTAACTTTTGCTCGAAATAAATATACTACTAGGCCAAGAAGTCGCACGGTACGGACACTCCGGTCAGTTCGTTTTGAGATCGGTGATGGCGGAGGCACCTTGGCCAGAAGTTGGCGAAGAGCCGTTTCAGCCAAGAGACAACGCGTTTCCGAAGCGAAGCTACGGAGTGAAGGTAGTTGTGTTTCGCCGTTTTCAGCCCGAGTGGTTTGATCAGTTCCCCTGGCTTCACTGGGACGTTGGCAGCGAGAAAGTGTTTTGCTACGCTTGCGTACGTGCGTCCAGGCAGAATCTTATCTCTTCAGGAAATGCGGATTCGGCATTTATCTCGACAGGCTTCCAGAATTGGAAAGAGGCAAAGCGAGTGATGACAGGCCGCGCTGTATCAGGATGTCGCAAGGAGGCTGTGGAGCGCTTACAGCAAATCCCTCAAGCCGTCGGTGATGTTGGGGAGCTGCTAGACTCGCAACTAGCAAAGCAACGACAGCAACACCGCCAGTGCTTCTTCAAGATCCTGCGGGCGCTGAAGTTTCTGGCCACGCAAGGACTTCCTCTTCGAGGAGCAACTAAGGAAGATGGTGAAGTTGACGGGCACTTCATGCAGTTGCTCGCCATGTTTGCTGAGAGCGATGACCACCTCGTGCGATGGCTGGACCGTCGCTCTGAGAAGTATACAAGTCCTCAGATACAAAATGAAATGCTGCAGCTGATGGCCCATCGTGTACTGCGACAAGTTGCAGCTGACATCCGCAGCAATGTCTGCTCCGTGATGGTAGATGAGACAACCGACTGCTCCACTGTCGAGCAATGTGTTGTAGTCATTCGCTGGGTGGACGGCACACTGCAGCCACACGAGGACTTCATCGGGTTTTACGCCATCCTAGTTGCCAATGCTGATACCATCGTGAAAGTCATACACGACTGCTTGCTTCGCATTGGACTCAGCTTGGCGGACTGCAGAGGTCAGTGTTACGATGGGGCTGCCGTGATGAAGGGTGTAAGGAATGGTGTCGCACAGCAGATCTTATCGGAGCAGCCAAAGGCACTGTTTACGCACTGTTATGGGCATTCATTGAACCTTGCCTGTCAGGATATGGTTCGTGAGGTGAAAGCAGTAAAGGATGCCTTGGATACAACATTCGAGCTGAGCAAACTGCTTAAGTACTCTGCCAAATGTACCGCTGAGGTCGATCGGCTGAAGAAGGAATTGCTCCAGAGGAACCTGGGTTTCGAACCCCTTGTCCGACCCGGTGGACTGTCCGAGCATCCTCTCTGCACAGTGTTCTTGTGAACTATGAAGTTTTGCAGGCAAGTCTGGATT